CATTTCAGAGTGAGCCGTCTTGGATATCCATAAGTGTCGCATAACTTCTGTACCCACGTCACACCGTACGCTGGCGTCAATTGACCTAGTCGTAAGTCCGTTCAAATATACCGTATCTGTATCGATTACCAATTTCTGTGAAACCACGGTTCACGTAGAAGTAAAGTAATTCAGCCCTCACTATCATCTGCGCTCGACAATGCCGTGCGTAAGACTAGCTTTGGTGTTTTCCACTTTACCGCTGCTGTAGCTAATTTGTTTCTATCATCTGTCTGAACAAATTCACCTTGAGGAAATCCGTAAGGCGATCCAAGCCATGGGACGCCACAAAGCGCCGGACCCCGATGAGCTTCCCCCGGCTCCATTTAAAGATGGTAGAATAAATCTTGTTTACGAATTGGTGACGGGGGTTATTTAAAGTGTGGCACACAAAACAGGTCCCCTTCCTCGTGAGGCCCGCGCAGTGACTGCACCAATCATGGTGGTATAAGCCAATGACTGTACAACATGCGTGAAGAGCAGATCCACGAGGAGCAGGCTGGGTTTCGCGCCGGCTGTGGATGTACCAAACAAATATCCATCCTACAAGAGCTGCTAGAGCACTGTCATACTTGCCACACACCAACGGTCATTGCGTTCTGAGACATCCGCACGGACTTCGACTTTGTCGATAGGACAGCATTATGGAACTGTTTGTCGAGGAATGGAGCATTTGGGAAGCATATGGATCCTCAAAGAGTTATATCTTCATAACTCAGGTCGGGTTAGGGTCTATGACCAGCTTTCGCCACCATTTGCGGTCTCCGGCGCGGTTCGACAAGGCTGCCCTGTATCCTCATTCCCCTTAAACTTCGCCGTAAAGAACGTTCTACAGAAGGCTTCGTCCGGTATAACAAACAGTGGAGTCGAACTCCTCCCGGGAAGAGTTCTTAACTTAGAATATGCCGATAGCATCACGTTGCTGAGTGATAATACGCAGGCAGTCCAACACACTTCAAACAGCTTGGCGACCGAAGGATCCTGGTGTGGTATGCGCTCAGCACCACCCAAGTACAAAGTGCTTGTTCAAGATCGGTAGGAGCTTGTGCCTTCACTCATCCTCTGCAGTGAGCAGCTGGAAGTTGTTGAGAGCTCTGAATGCATCGGGAGCCGGGGGTGGTGTTGGGGAAGAAATAATATGATGAATAGAGAAAACCAGAAATTTTTGCCAACCCGTGACACCTGCGGCGACGCCATGACATCCGACTATCCCTTAAGGGAAGTTTGTACATAGTCGCGGCTCGTAGTGTTTTGCTTTAGGGTTGCGACGCCTAACCCCTCCGCGTTTAGGATGCCAATCTACTTTCTGTATTCGATCACCGATGACACAGCATTGCCCATGTTGAGTCTGTTTTACCTGTTCGCCCAATATTCCGAGTCTGTTTTACCTGTTCGCCCAATATTCCGAGTTTGTCGTTCTGGGTCGTGTACTCACCGTAATTATTGACCAAACTTTCATACACAATAGCTTTCTTCACATGATCATATTCTGTACGATGTATCTGACAGCCCGTGTCTGGTAGCAATATCGAGTGAGCCATGGATGGGTTCCTGGTCGTGTGTTGGGTGCAGATAGTCGTTCTCTAAAAGAAGTAATCACTATACACTACCTCCGATGGCTTGGTCACGTTTTGCGTATGCCTGTCCAAAGTCTACTTTTCCGTGCTCCCTTTACACATGTTGGCAAGGCTGGAAGAAGCATCGCCGCGGTCGGACCATGATGTGGTGCAGAGGCATGAAAAAGCTAGTTTCAGTTGATGCAGCCCATTTTCCAGGCCGGAGCCTAAGGGATGAGGATTTTCGCCAATTAGAGATGCTAAGAGACATGACCAGGAATAGAAATCAGTGAAGTAAATACCGTGTGGTCTGCCTGTTGAAATCCCGCGCCCCATAAAAAACGATGAACAAAATCACAAAAATATCCAAAAGTGCACTGTGAAATAAACAAAAAATGTTATTTTTGTTATCCGCTGTAACTGCTTGGCCTCAATTGCACTCTGCTTTGTATCCCGATCCCCTCCTCATCTTCATTTATTATTGTAGTTCCATTGGTGTCATGCTTGTTCGCAAGCGGGTGATATATATAAAATATATACCCGACGTTTCTTCCTGCCCAACACAAGTGTGATTGATGGCCCCTGACCTTCACACTGATTTTACTCGGCCGAGTGAATTGGTGTTTAAAGATTTGTCGTTGTTCTGGTTGAATTTTCACGAGTGTTTGTAGGCAGCTGAAGAGAAAAAGCGAAACAGTTGAATTTAACCTGGTTCTGTGGTGATGCTTGTTCTCGCTCTATTGAAGTATTCATGACACTCACTTTTACTCAATACATACCGAAATCCTCAGTATGCTCGGGGGTGGGTGTCTAGGGTTGTGGCTGGTTACCCGTCCCTTGAACCTCGCGAAGTGCTCCCATACGACCAAGAGTCTCAAATAGCTTCTACCGAAGAATTCCTATTCACTAACTTCTCGTGGCGGTGTTTTGCGTCAAATTGAGAGGACGAAAAGCCCATATCCGGGGCTATAACCGGTTTGGTGAGCCACTGGCAGTTCACCTACGGGAATTAGCTAAAAACCATGATTCCGAACCAACCAAGAGGAGGTGTCAGAACCACGCCCACACCTTTCCGGTTGTGGCAGTGGTTATCGGCTAGATTGGGCATCGAGGTATATTGGACACCTTGGAAGTCTGACCCAGTTCGAAAGGCGTATGATCCGATGAACTGAACACCGGCCCCCAATGGATTGCGGTTTTCGCACATCGCCCCGCTGTCTTGCGGGTCAGGCTTCGGTCAGCCAAAGGCTCCGGTTGTGGATTCCCCAGGAAAATTCACCTGCCTTGACCTGGGCAACCTGGCAGTATTCGGCCCATTTGCAAATCGTGGAGCGTTTTTCTTTTTATAACGATCATTATACCACGATTTCTTTGGCACATAGTCTGGCATGGTGAAATATAAAAATAAAACCTCATTGACTGCCGAATCCTGTATATAAACGTCTGATTCAAGTTACCGAAAAAAATTTCTCTTTTTAACTAACTTCGTTGCAACGAGACTATGGGACTATTTAACATGCCTCAGATGTTAGTGAAAACAATATTGGATTGCCGATTTCGCAGGATGCGTTGTACCCATTGTGTTGTACGAAGAGGTCAACTCCGATTAAATGGAACATCCGACACATTGATGGGTTTACTACCTGTGTGACCTCAAAATTGTTGGAACACTTAATGAGTAGCGCTTCTCGAACAAAAAGCGGTTTTATTTCCTTAATCCCTGCAGACTCCTGCACATTGGTAGATGACATTAGTTTATTATTAGGTTAATAATTATTAGTTAATTCGTCCGACCCAACTGCGTTGAAACTGAACACGACTGACGAACCATTGGATTTTCGTGCTTAGTTTTTGTAGGAAGGAGAGGTGGTATCCATCCTCCATGATTAGGCACTAATGAGATCTACGAGTACCATCATCGCTTTTCGTCAAAGAGGAAGTTGCGCGTTCCCAAATTGATGGTTTGATTGGCTCAATGACATGTTTGCCAGTCACGCAAGACTTAAAAGTGAGTTAACTTTCAAGGGAATAAAACAGACTACTTCCCTTGGACAATACGGCTATTACAGTGATTACTATTAGATTTTTATGCTAGTGCGTTTTTCCCGGGAAGCCCATAAATCGCTATTGTCTTTGAATCAAATTCTGCAAAGAAGCGAAGAAACAATAAAATCGTCCGGTTAGGCTGATGAANATCTTTCATGGACCCATCGGGCGGAAACCACAAGTCCGCACACCAAACACCATGACCTCGATGGGTGTTATCGATTACCGTCATGTGATTTATCTTCTCCCAGGGATACCATACGATGCGACAGTCCTGATTTGCAGTTCAGAAAAAAGATTAGAGGTGATGTTCGAACGATTCTGAGGCACCGAAAATCTATCCGTCACTCACAGTCAGGCATTCAACATCCAACATGTAGCAAAACACGAGCGAATAGCGGAGAGCACAAACATGAAAGTGGGAAATAGTGATGTAAAAGCCTTGCGTTTACACATTTGCTCAACACCATTAGCTACTTCGTTGCCTTGTTCTGTCTTATTAAGTACTCATCCATATTGTGGACCTCTTTGTTTCCTCCTGGAGTGCACCAATAATCGGATCCTCCCAAAATGAAAAGCAGAGAACGTGTAATGCGGAGCTACTAGTGTTTGTTATATTTGTAATGGAATATTTTGTGGAACCTATCGCTCATAGTCAGCAAACAAATTGGGTGTTCTTCGATGTAATCTCTACGGGACGTGGAAACCAATGGTATATTTATAAATGTAGACTATTCCATTATTTATTCATCTTTAAACATACCTTCTACAGGTCATCATTACTTGTTGACAGCGGTTAGATTTTTAGTACTATCGAGTGACCAGAGAAGAACACAAGCCTTTGTGAATGGTCTGAGTTTTGGTATTGCTAGTTGTCATGCCGTTTGTACTACAACAGGCTCTGTGACAGATGAACCATGGGCTTGGACAGCTTTCTATTCGAACTCCCAAGAAAGGCAGTAAAACCGAGTCCAGTCCAAATCAAACGAAGTTCATACCGACCACAATCCATCGTTAGCAAGTATTGGAGCTTGAGGTTTCTTTTTCATTTTACTTCATTTTTATTGAATATATAAAGATACAACAATTTTTCAGAAAGGGGGAAGCGGCCAATCAGAGGGCTGCCATTCAACACACAAAGGGGAAATTCAGGCGGTGGTGGTTCGAACATACATCCTCGAGGTGATAATTTGGTGACATTACCACCGGGCCACCACCGTCCTCCATAAAGCATTATATGATCAACTAGTATCATATTTGCATTTCACCATGAGGGCAGTGGCCAAGTGGTGAGTTCACCAAATTGTGACCTGAGTCCCGGGTTCGAACCGCTCCACCTCCGCCCGTCTTCCCAGGCAGCCTTTGTATGGCCGCAGCCTCCCTTCCTGAATGTTTGCTGTACATTCGTATGTTCAGTAAATAAAAAAGGAAGTAAAAAAGAAATTATTATTATTATTATCAACGATAATACACAAACGCTTACCTCTCCAACTGCCAGAGCACCGTGTTTCGATGCAACCACCATTCGAATCCGAGACTCGAATAAAACATCCTTGGTCATGCTTCCGCCGTCCAAACGGTATAACAATTCCCAGGAATTCCGACACTTGGTTATATCGCTGTCCGTTCCCAGTACCTTGGTCCACACAGCAATACTACGATCCTCGGCGGCCGAGACCAAATGGAAACGATCACGTGCCTTGTTCACTGCGCACAGACTGAGTGAGAAAATAACTCCCTGGTGTTCGAAATAAAGAAACTTAAACAGCATAGGCATACCTTTTGGCAATGTAGTGTATCCAATTCAGAATGACTGCTATGTACAATTTGACCATCAGGAGTGAGATGGAATTCATTCACTCGAATCAGAATCTGACCGAATGTGGCACCGAAAAAGCTGATAGTGCTTAGTCCAGCCGAGAGTGCTCGACATTCGACCACACCACAATAACTGCGTGGAAAGGGAAATTTCAGACCGCAGATAAAGGTAGTTACCAAGCNGCGGAACCGTTCAAAGCGTGGTTTGCGATTGCACGTGGCTCACAAAAGGTTTCATTGTTTGTGATAATCGGTAAGCACGTGATGATTGTTCGACCATGAGCAGAAGTGAAACAAAACCAAGAGAGGGACTGGTGAGCAACAATCCGACAACCGACAATATTATCCGATCTATAACATTCAAATAAGACCGAGAAATTCCAGGTTGATTTAGATCTGCAAGACAGATAGGCACCCGCATAAAATCGGTTCCCAGCCACGGCAACAAGGAAACGGCCAGTGTTTGAATCTTAAACAGAAAAAGATGCTATGTAAGAATTCGTCCAGAACTACCTTCAGCTGTAGTTACATGGTGCACGGTGACATATTCGTGGAAGTTCCATGAACCGACTACGCAATTTCTGGTTAAATCAAATAGCCGAATTTCATTTGCACAACCTGAAGAAAAAATACAGAAATAGAAATTCGACACCTACCAATAATGATAACAGATTTGGACAAAAAGCGCAGTACCGTAACCGGGGATTGTCTCCATGCTATTTTGAGCATGCGGCTATGAGAGAACCAACTGTAGCTGCAAATAATAACATGCATGATACATGAATCAATTCTGAAATCGGTCTATGTTGTATTGAAAATAAAAAAGACATTTGGTAACCATCTCTTATGTTTATACTAAATGATCTTTTTAGCGCATCGGGACCAAATGATGTTAGGAGTGTATCGAAAAATCGATGCACCATGTGTTGTTTTATTGTGGATGTCATAGTGTTAATAACACGATAACCGAAATATCGGTGAATATAACTCGCGACCGATATCGCTGTGTTATTAACACTATAACATTCACAAAATACGACCTTTTGTTCAAAATTTCCAAATACATTCATTGTACTGCCGACGATGACCCTTGCATGGTTCTCTTTCCCACCCCACGACAGGCGGTCGTGTACCACTAACCTATTTCTGGCCGAGAAGAATGGACCAAGGCAGTTGATCACGGTGATGTAGTGGACTTAGTGTACCTCGACTTCTCCAAAGCATTCGATCGAGTGAACCACAAAATACTGCTGAGGAAAATACACAATTATGGAATTTGGGGACTTGTACTGGATTGGATAGAAGAGTTTCTTCTTTTTCTTTTCTTTTTTCTTTTTCATTTTACTTCCTTGTGCTGAATACATAATGATACAATTTTCAGGAAGAAAGGGTGCGGCCAATCAAAAGGCTGCCATGGGAAAAGTCAGGCGGTGGTGGTGGGGTTCGAACACCGCCCCCGAGGTGGTAATTTGGTGACGTTACATCGGGCCACCACCGCCCGACAACGCATCATGGCAGTTCGGGTTTCTGGGTCACTGTCTGATCCTATCAGCGTAGGCTGAGAAGTTTCACAGCGATCCGTGCTTGGCCTTCAATCTTTTCTAGTTTTCATAAACGATCCAACGGACATTCGGGGACCACAAACGTTTATGTTTGCAGACGGTGCAACGGTTTATTATCCTCGGCATGTTAATGCAATCACATCTCAAGTACAGAGCTCACTTTAAGTGGAAATGCGGAACGGTAAACATTTACTTCTTCGTGGTACCACTTTTTGATTTATTTCAAGGCTTGTGAATTCAAAACAATGTACCGTTTGCGTTACATTTTTTAAATTTTTACTCAGGATTATCGCATGCTATACGGTAGCACTGAAGCTGTGCGAGATGTGTCCAATATTCTGACGAGACAGGCACATCGTTTAAACCTCGAATCAACAAGAGCAGAGCTGCTACCGAGCGCTTTCCCAGGTCGCGGATAGGGGAACGGCCGCTAACTGGTGGTTAACTGTGAATAAGGTGGGTTTGGTTTCACTGAATAAGCGACCGCGGACGACCAGCTGCAGTGCTCGAGGATGTGGTGGGTTTAACAGTTGGCAAGGGTTATCCATACAAAACACCACATATATCTTATGACAACGCCGTGACGTGGTGACTGTGACCCGCTACTGAATACAGCCATTGACCCTTAGTCGAATTTGTGAGTAGAAGATATCCGTCGACTAGAAGTTTTCGATTATCGGTGTTTACGCAGTTTAACCCACGTTGGATAGAGCGAACGGGTTAGTAACGTGTAGGTAAGCCGTCATGTGTTTTGGAGTCTGTCAGGTATAAACCTGCTAGCACACCGAATTCAGATTACTAGGCTTCGCTGGCTAGGGCACGTAATGCGTATGCCCAGCCATCATCTGCCGCAGCGCGCTTTATTCGCTGTGGCTAATCCGGGCTGGAGGAAACCACGTGGAGGTCAACAGATGACGTGGAGACGAGGCATGAAGAAATGCACAGAGCCATTAGGTAAAGTAGGTGTCTTTCGCCTTCCAGGTTGGGGTCCGAAAGACTCCACAACTGGTTGGTTGGAGACATTGAAGGATATGGCAGCGAACCGGCAGCAGTCGCGTTCTTGTTGTCGTTTCTTATCAGGTCAGAATGCTTGAAACGGTATGTATACAAAGTTCGATTGCGTACACTGTGTTGACCACAGTGGCTCATCTTCTTCTCCCTCCCTCAAAAAAGATCCAAACCCTGTCCAGCTAAAATTTTACCACTAACCTTGTATGCATTGCAGCGATCAGTCAAGTTTCCTTCACAGGAACGGCGAAAGAGGGCGCCCTTGACGAACGCCGCTGCTGGTGACGAACAGCCTACTTAGTTCGTTGTAGACCCTTACACGATCCGAGGTATGTGAGTACAGCGACCTCAG